CACTGTCGTCCTGTAGATGCTTTGGGTGAGTAGGATGCGAGAGTAGATGTGGATTTGTGGCAGAAGCCGTGTGTGGAAGTCCTCTTGTGTTGAAAAGATCTTGTAAAAGCCTAAAATGGAAGCATCAGATGGTAGTGTGTGCAACTGTGTATATGGCTCATACGTTCTATCCTAACGAAGTGATGCCCTCCGCAATGGAATATGAAATTTTTATTTGATTTTGTTCTGATGGAAAGGCATGTGAAGCGATGCAGGGATTGCTCTCTATGCTTAATCCTGATCTGGTGGGTAGGGAAGAAAAAAACCCAAGTATCCCTCAAAGCCAGATATGCATGCTGGGTTATAGTGCCCCTCCCCCCACTTTAAAAAGATTTTATTTTTAAATAATCTCTACACCCAATTTGGGGCTTGAACTCACAACCCAAGATCAGCAGTTGCATGCTCTACCGACTGGGCCAGTCACACACCCCATGTGTGCCCTCTTGAATAGCGTGATTATTGCAGAGTCTCATTTCTGGGTGTTTTGATGAGTTAGGCCAAGAAAAGGCAGAATACCTACTGAAAGGTAGAACAACTTTTCTGGGGAAAATTTTTACCCATATTTATAGAGACCATTAAAAGAGAAAATACAGTGTTGTGGGGGTGCATACCCTTGTGTGTGTGATGTGCTTGTTAAAGTTGTTAAGTGACTTGATTGGAGATATGTTCAAATTAGCAAAAATGAGCACCTCCCCCACTTTCATGGAAAGGCTCGCTGCTAGATCTAGGTCAAGAAGAGAGGGAAAAATGAAACAAGATGAAACCAGAGAGGGAGACAAACCATAAGAGACTCTTAATCTCAGGAAACAAACTGAGGGTTGTTCGAGTAGGGGGTGTGTGGGAGGAATGGGGTGGCTGGGTGTTGGATGCTGGGGAGGGTATGGGCTATGGTGAATGCTGGGAATTGCGTAAGGCTGATGATGCACAGACCTGTACCCCTGAAGCAAATAGTACATTATATGTTAATTTAAAAAAATAAAATAATTGGGATGTAATTTTTTTAAAAAGAGTTATTTATGCCCTGTGCTATGAAAAGAGGTTAGCCAACTGGGTTTGCAGAGAATCTACTAGCAGAAAAGTCTGCTTTCTCTCATTCAGATATATAGAATTGTAAGTCTTTCAGACTCCTCATGTGGCCTTAACAAACCACCATTTTACAGAATTCGAGAACAGCTTTTTTTTTCCTTTGTACCAAATTTTTTTTTCATATTCATTGTGAGTAGATTATTAAAATGTCCGTTTCAAATCCTGAGAATGTTGTATAGCTCTATAAAAATAGGAGAACAACATGATATTTGGCTTGTACATTTATTAAGAATAGTTCATTTGTCTCCATGATAGAACTCTTTCGGTGGAACAAAGAAGCTGAATTTTTTGCTCAGTAGAGGTTTTCAGTCCATATACTTCTTGTTGGGGGGCTAAATCCATTGTTAGTACAGAATCATACGTCAGTTGACTACTTTTATCTTCTACCTACAGTATTGGACCGACACAGACATTCTCTTCTATGGAGCTCTGCCTTCTCTCTGACTTGGCTGTATTTATATAGTAACATCACAGGGTGAACATTAAGTTCATGGGTGAGACTTATCTGGGAGGGATGGCCAGTCAATTGAAAGATGGCACAGAGTTTCAAAATGGGTCTCCACTAACTGAAGCATTATTCAGAAACTCAGAATTAGATTAAATGGATAAAAGTTGGGTGAAGTCAAAGCCATCATAAGGTATTTTTAGCCAGTGGGCAGTAGAAGCTAATTCCCCTGGATTTAGGGCAGTCGTGACAAAGAAAATAGTGACAAACCCAAACTGGATGGCCGAGGGCTGGGCCGAACCCTTGCCTTGCCTATTACTGGCCATGGCATCTTTGCCTGAGGACTCGCCCCTCCAAGGCCTCTTCTATGTGAAATGAGGATAAAGACCTCTATCTCACAGGTTTTTGAAAGGATGAAATGACAATATGTTTCCAAGTTCTTGGCAAAGCGTAAAGGGTTGCACACAGATTTCTTTTGATTTCCTTGATAAGAGAGGACATTCAGGAGGTGGAGACCATAGTTTCTCCTGTTGGTATTAGAGACTGCTCTTGGGGTGTGTATGTGTGCACGTTCTGGGGATGGGTGGCTAGTACTGTATTTATTCAGACTTTGGGGGAGAATCAGTCTGTCATTTCTTCATCTCAGTTGGCCTCCGGGAGAGTGTCAAGACAGTGAGCTGGTGACCAGCAAGCTCTTAAGGGACTAGCAAGCACTTCATGAATAAGGTTTATACAGAAAGGGCCTCTGTCATGTTAGTGAGCTTCCCCCGCTTCCCTTGTGGCATTTGTACCAGTCAGAGTCCCAGTGGGAAACCTGTGGCACACTCCAGCTGGGTGGCTGAGGGGAGTTCTAGAAGGGGACGAGGTCACTAGTGGCTGGCCCTAGCCCGGCAAGAGGAGAGAGCAGTCACAGAAACCCAGAGAGGGTAGCTGTATGGGGCGGGGGGCACCCAGTGGGAGCTGTGGCCTCTAAAGGAGATACAGTGTCTCTCTAGGGAGTGAGCCACGGGCAGAATGACTCTTCCTCATTTTCCTGCTCTCTGGTCTCCTCCTCATGTCTTCTATATACTAAACCCAAGACAAAGACGAGGACAAGGGAGCTGTTTATGTCAACACCTTAGGGACCAGCCTCCTGGGGCACTGAGCAAGGCAAGAGAATGGAGAGGGAGGATCCCTCGGTGTGTTTGGGGCAATAGGAACAAATCTTACTTTGGAGATGATGTTTGGATTCTTTTTTCTTTCCCCTTTCCTTGCTCCCCTTCCTTCATTGGTCATTCATTCATCATTAGCGCGATGCCCAGGTGACTAGATCCAAAAAGATACCAAGCATTGACTGCTGTTGCCTGGCAGGACTGCACTGATATGTAAGCCATAAAACCATAATTTTTATGTTTTAGATTTTATACTCACCCAAATGAGGACATAAAAGCTGCTCTGCCAGCCAGGAGGAAGAGGCTGTAACGCCTGCTTCTCTTTCCTTTGCTTCTTGTGCCATTAGCCTCACATATGAAGATGTCTTCTGGTTTTTGTTGTGGAAAAACCTAGCAAGGATTCTGATTTGATGATTGTGTCTGTGGTGGGACCCTCCGAGCAGACCATCGCCCCTGGGATAGGGGGCGAATCCAGATGGATTTCTTTTTTCCCTGCATACTTTGAAATGCTTGGGAGAGTAAAGAGACCTGTTGTTTTCTATAAATTCTGCATCGACAATGAGAATCAGTTTCATAACTTTATTTCGACCAGAGGTGCTACTTTTTAGATACTTTGGGTTTTGTTGTTTTTTCTTCTTTTTCCTCCTTTATTCATGGTTGGGATTATCAAATAGTTTTTTTAAACTCTTGGGATGCAGCTCGTTAAAATGGGTTGATGGCATTCACATGGCGCTGTTAACTTTATAGTTCAAGGACTCCAGATCACTTATTAAGAGTCATAAGAAAATGATAACGGAGCTGCTGACCCAGGACTGCAGAGCTAGAAAGCCTCTTCCTCTGTCACTGGGCAAGGCTTCTGTGTTTACCCGGACATCTGTAGTCATTTAAGCTTGTTTCTGTGAAAACTGTAATACTTATTTGAATTTTTTGTGATTGTTTATAAAGATGAAAATGAAATCTAATCCCCAGAAAAACAAAATGAAGTTAGGACAGATGCTGTATTCCTAGCTTTCAGTTTTCCCTTCCTTTTGTTTCTTAAGCACCTTGTAGGTTGGAAGTGGCAATAAGGGTACGCTGGCCTCCTGTGTATTTTATGCTTCCCTTTTTAATATCCAAATAGGTACTGTCAGTGTTTTTCTACACTGTTAGGGTTATGGATAACCCTAGCCTCACATATGAAGATGTCTTCTGGTTTTTGTTGTGGAAAAACCTAGCAGGGATTCTGATTTGATTCGGTTTATTGATAAGAAAGATAGTTACTGTTTTGGAAATCTCAAGGAAGCCTGAAAGTGAGCAAAAAATGTTCAGAAATGAAGTGACATACAGAAGAAGCCACCTCCATTTGGGAAAATGAAGTTTTTGCATTAATAGTTCTAGATCCATTGTGGAAGAAATAGGTTGTCACTCAGTGATAGGATCCCATCTCTGTCTTTTCTTACTCCATGGCCATTGGTAGCTTTGTTAGGGATTGACCTCAGGCTTATGGTAACAGAAAAAGGAGTGTTGAAAAGGGGAAAAATAAGAGTGTGGAAGAGAAAAAATCTGGTCACAGTAAATTTGTGTATCATGCTATTAGTCAAGAATGGGCAGAAGGAAGGAGTGTCACTGTGACTTCTCTGAATTAGGCGATTCCTTGAAATAACTCAGCTGCATACAGTGGATACTGCTGTCCCCCAAATTCCTGCTTCTTATCTGGGTGCTCTGCTCTCCATGTGTACGTGCCATCTTGAAGTGAAAGAAAATGTCGAGAAATTTCAAGGCATTTTTGTCCTACGGCTCTGCACAGCCTTTGTGTAAGTGCATTGTCGTTTCCAGATCCAAATCCTGCCTCCCAGCCCGGCCTCCTGGAAGGCTTTCAGATATTCTCCGGGGAGGGGAGCTTTATCAAGTGTGTGTGCACTTCAAAAGATGCGGATTTCATTGTTTCTTCTAAGATACATGGTTACAAATCACTATCCAAATTCCGTGCCGAGTGGCTTCCAAAGAGGCGACAGGTTGCGTGTGTGTATGTGTGTGTGTGTGTGTGTGTGTGTGTGTACACGCGCGCGCATGTGCTTAAGCTCCATTCGCCTCCCAAGTGTGTTCTGGTCCTCCAGTGTGGCTGTGTGTTCTCTGCAGGTGGCATTGCCCCCGCCAGGGAGAGTGCCATCCTGTGATGCTCCTCCAGCCGTCTGCGCGAGGGTGCGACGTCCATGCCGCCGTGTCTAGCTTAGTTGTCTGGGCGACTGTGAGAAGGTGTCACAGTCTGATGACCTCTTTTGCTGTGGTCCATCTTGCAGGGACGGGAGAGAGCGGCAAGAGTACGTTTATCAAGCAGATGAGAATCATCCACGGGTCGGGCTACTCCGATGAAGACAAAAGGGGCTTCACCAAGCTGGTGTATCAGAACATCTTCACAGCCATGCAGGCTATGATCAGAGCCATGGACACGCTCAAGATCCCCTATAAGTACGAGCATAATAAGGTAGGCCTGGCTCCTCCTGGGAACCGTGGGCAAAGCCATGCATGGTTCTGATGCTGTCTTCACACGGCTGGGTGGGACAGTGGGTTTTCGAAGCATACATTTTTCATCTCATCCTACGTGGGACATTTAATGGTTCAGTATGTTCTTTATCGTTTTTTTTTTTTTTCCTTAAATCTTTAAAGTCCCATCTCTGCACAATTAGAGTTATGTTCGTAGTGATATCGGTGGAAGGCACATTTGGATGTTCGATGATAAATACACGGAGGTTTAGAATTCCGGGGGGTGCCCCATTACATTCAGAAGATGGGTTGTAAGTTCAGGACACATTGACCAAGGTGAGGGAATTCAAAGTAGAGGCATTGGCCTTGCTTTCCTCCCATTCTTTGTGCTTCCTTGAAGGGGGAAAAAAAAAAAAAAGAACAAAAACAGCTTAAGAGCATTTTGTCCATTTTAATTTTGGATTTCGTGACTTCCTGTCAGTAGTACCACAGGCTTAATTTTATTTCAGAATAGGTCCATCTGTCACTTCCAATAACCTTTCAAACATGTTTCCCTGTAGTTGGGTAACAGTCATGCAAACTTCTAAAATCACTTGAAAAGGAAGGAGAAGTGGGGAGAAGAAAAAAGAATCGAAATCTTCTCAGGACATGTAGGTGTTGACCTTCTAGTAATCGGGTAAACCTCACCTTTTGTTGACGGAACACTGCATTTGCACCTACACTGGTTTGAGAGTTTCCCTTCAAGTGTTCCAGTCAGTGCTCTTGATAATTTATTCTTAAAAATGTTTCCATATACCAGGTCAGTATGTGACAGCAAGAAGCTGGCATGCTCACTGTGACTCATAATCTGACAGTTAACTCAAAGTGAATCATGGGTAAAATAAAGCAATGCTGTGTATCTCCCCTTCTCATACCATCTAGAAGCTTCTAAATGTACAGATCATCTTAAAATCAGGCATTTATTTTTCTTGGATGTTTCCTTGAAATCGCCTGGCTCTTTCTTATCTAACTGATACTCTGGCACTTAGTTTTCCAATGGTGATGGGAGAGTGTCTCCCACCAGGAACAGAGAGTCTCTCCACAAAGAAGCTTTCCTGTTTGTATTCGCAAGAGTGAGAATGATCTGGGCAGGTTCACAAGCCTGGGAATGTGGTGCCTGAACCAGTTGAGGCTGCCTGGAGAGCGACAGTCTAAATTTAGAAGGATCAGGGTTGTCTCCCCCCCCCCGGCCCCACCCCCTTCAAGAAATCTCAGTGTAATGAGTTTCTGAAATAGTGGCATGCTTGTTTCATTGCGGTTGGGAGAAGATTCTATGGAGGGATCTGTTTTTTAAGGCCCGCAACTTGTGCTGGTCTAGTTATTTGATAATATCATGATCTGATGGGTTCTGGCTGAATTAACCACATGGGTGATACGATATACAGTTGACCCTTGCACAACGTGGGGATTAGGGGTGCCAACCCCCGGTGCAGGCAAAAACCTACGGGTAACTTTTGACTCCTCCAAGACTTGCTAATAGCCTACTGTTGACCTGAAGCCTTACCAATAACATAAACAGTCGATTAACACGTATTTTGTGTGTTATACGTATTATACACGTATTGTTAAAAGAAAGCAAGCTAGAGAAAAGAAAACGTTGTTAAGGAAATCATAAGGAAGACAAAATACATTTATTGTACCGTACTGTATTTATCCAAAAAAATCCATGTATCAGTGCACCTGCAGGGTTCAGACCTGTGTTTTTCAAGGGTCAGCTGTGTGTGTGTGTGTAATTGGCAATGTTTTATAGATACCTATAAAACACATATTGTCAGTTAACACTTTGTAATACAAGGCAATCTCCCTTAATCATGCACAGAAATCATCTTTCTGGGATGTTCCAGAAGAATAGTTCAGGATCTTGCTTCGATGTTAGCTTCTCACATGAGGCCCGTTGATTGTACCATTACACAGATGTGGAAGATGGAGTGGAACTTCATGTAACACATTGAAGAATATATAACAACATGTGTTACTTGAGCTCTTTGTATCAGTTATAATTAAGTAGATGTTATTGTGATGAATACCATTCAGTTAAAAATCAACATCATAAAAAGTTACAATAATGTGATTCTTCTCCGATATCATAATTATCCTGTGGAAATCTTCTCACATCTCTTGTTTGCTTAATACACTCCCTAATATAGGGACACGAGTGTGTGCTAACCTCTGAGTTTCTCATTAGGTTTAATCTCCTTTAATTTATAATATAAATTACTTTCCCATTTGTTCCATTTTCTTCCTAATATACACATACTCTGAAACATCACTCCTTGCTTCATCCATTAACGTCCCAAGCTCTGCCCACTCCTTGCCTTTGTTATCGCTTATTAAGGACATAATGTCTTCTTTCTCTTCCACCGAACTGCCACTTCCTCCTAGAGTTCTTCTCTGCACAAATCCTCCCCCGCTCCCACCCCGTTGCACTAAGTAATCCCACCCTCCTGTAGCAGAAACCATAATGGAGTGTTTATAATTGCCTAACTTATATTCATTATGATGACTTGTGGGAGTTGGTCTTGTTTTCCCAGCCAGACTCAAAGCTTCTTGAAAGTAGATGATGTCACTTGCACGCCAGTGTTTTTCAGCTTCCCAGCATCATACCTTGTACATAGTAGAGGCTCAAAAAATACTGTTTTATGAACAGGCAAGTCATTCATCCCCTTAGACAACTGAACGTTTCCTCTTCTGCCTCCAGGTTGTTGAAATGCTTATTCAGATCAACAGATCACTGTTGAAATGATTTTATGTGTGTAAGGGAATCAGTGCAGTGTGGTGTCAGAGGTGCAGAGAAGTTTCATGAGGACTGGGAAGAAATTGACAATCCAGAAAAAGTCAAGGGCATTGCTAACATGGGGGCACTTTGGGGCTGAGGAATGGCAGGAGTAGGTGTTAAGAAAAAGGGGTGTGACTGTGTTGGCCAACTTACCTTGAGCAGAATTCTTATAGAGGAGAACTAGAAAATAAAATTTAAAAATGGTTTAGAATTTGTTTCTGAAAGGTTTTGAATCCAGGCTAAGAAGTTTGAATTTTATTTTCTTGTCTTTATGAGACCCATTTAGTAATAATATTTTTTGTTTCACTTAGAATTTTCTATGAAAGTTTTTGGTTATAATATGCTCTCTATAAATAGTTTAAGGAACTTGGTGTGCATTTTATTAGCAATTACTTGAAAGCAGTGTACTGTGATTTATATGATTCTGTGACACTAAAGATGTAAAAAATGTAGTTTTTATAAAAGCTTCTTTGTGTCTACAGCCACATTGGTCATACTATATGGTAGTAGCATAAATAAAAACAAACACGTTCTAATATTTTTCTCCTAACTTTGTACTTGCTTCTGAGTTCATGTATTTTACAGAGCAAAATGTAGATTAAAAATGGTATGGCCTGGGGGCACCAGGGTGGCCCAGTGGGTTAAGCCTCTGCCTTCAGCTCAGGTCATGATCTCAGGGTCCTGGGATCGAGTCCCACATTGGGCTCTCTGCTTGGCAGGGAGCCTGCTTCCTCCTCTCTCTCTCTCTGCCTGCCTCTCTGCCTACTTGTGATCTCTCTCTGTCAAATAAATAAAGTCTTTTAAAAAAAAATGGTATGGCCTGTTCTTAACTGGGAAATTGTTCACAGTTTCGTTTGCAGTGAAATTCATTCTAGCAGTGGGAATACCAGACTAGAATATTGGAATTTTTTGGCTCCTGTGTAGTGTTACTGCACTGAATTGAGAGTGCCACTGGTTAGCTGGAGGGCTGCTCCTGTGGTCAGGAGGGAGTCCAGGCCACTGTCTCTGCCCTAGATGGTGGTGTGCCATCCCCTGCCTTTTTTGTAGACCAGCTCAGGAATAGCTTGGGATAAATTACAAACTTTTACCAAAAGAAAGATCAAATTTCCCTTGGATGCATATCCACTATCGCGTTCTTGAATTTTCTTTGGCAAGCTAGTAATGTTTATAGGTGAGCTGCTTGGACTGCCCAAGTGAGGGAATATATCTGGAGACTTCTTCTGAATATACTGTGAGCTAGGGTTGGTTTTCTCCGAAATATTACTTTGCCATTTCCTTAAACACAACTGTTGATAGCTAATGTTAAAAGGGATGAAATGTTTGTCTCTTAGTCAAATCAAAAGACACATTTCACTAGGTACAAGGCATTTGACTGTGACATGCCTCTGTCATTTTTTGCTCTCCAAAAGGGAGAATTTTCATCACCCTTATTTTATGGTTTCCCATCTTATGCAGACCTGTTCTTCTGATTATTGGTTGTTTGGGTGCTGAAATCAGCACTTTATGAAAAGGAAGAGATAAAACATTTCGGGGTCCACATGGCTAAGATCTGTCCTGGATTATAGGGGGGGGACGAAACAGACGACGAGGCATTGATGCCCGATTTTCATGTACTTGTTATCTGTGGCTGGTGGTTGGCCTTCTTCCTGCTTTGCCTGTTGATCATTCCTGGGCAGGTGCCTTATTTTCTCAGACTGCACAGTATGTTCTGGTGAGCGCGCTTCTTGTTTTGTAGTTCATTGTCTCCACGACAGGCCACACATGCTGCTGCTTTTTGGAGATTACCCCAGATTAACGTATCCTCATATCCCTTTCCCGTTGGCTTATAGTTTCTGTGGACTGTGAAATCAGGCTATTCTTGGGGCAGTTTCAAAGTATTGACAGGTTTTTGCTGCTTTGTCCAGTCTCAGCAAGAGAAAAGAAAAGAGAAAAGAGGAAAAAGTCCCAGCTGCTTCCTCATGCAGTAAACTCAGGATGGTTACTGAGTAGAACTCAGCTACTTGCTAATGTTGAATAGACAGTGTTACCTTTTCTTCTAGTTGCTGCTTTTAGACTTGGAAGTCTGGATGACTGGGGCTCCCTTAGCACCAAAGGCTGCAGTTACCTTTGTCCAGTCAGGAGTTTCCAGGGTTGACACCTGTTACCCTTTGTCCTGGCGGGTAAGTGGCTGAGAGCACGTTGCTGCA